CCCCTGGCACCGAGTCTTTTCCTTCGCGCGGCACTTCAGATGTGCCGAGACATGTGCGCTGGTGTGCGCCTTGCATGGTGTGTCCGTGCCGCAGCGTGAGTGCCTGTGCTGCATTTGCACCGTTGCCTCCGTCAGTTCTCTTCCCTTTCTTCTTTCCCTTTTTTTGGCGGTTTTGCGCGCAGCATACACAATTTTCAGCGAAGGGAAGGGTAACAGTCAATCCGCACGCCATGTCGTCCATCCCTGATGAGCTTTTTGGCCGTTGGAGGATGACTACGTTCAACGGATTGAATTTTGTGGATCTCGGGTATCAGCCCTGCCCGATGTCGTTGGAACCTGCAGGAGATAGGGTGGAGATTTTCATTCAAATCGTCAACTACATGTCCGGCACACTGGAGTATCGAGATGGCCAGCTTATTGGATCTCTCATGTCAACAATGATTGCGGGAGAAGGCCTTTTTGAAGAGATTGAGGAAGCATTTGGTGAGGGAATTGAAGTTGGAATGGACGTCCTTTTTGAAGAAGCTACGATGACCTTCTCTCAAGGCGGGAACTCCTTTGTGTTTGTGGCCCAACCTGACTCCGCACAACAGTGATCAGCGGAGGGCAAAAGCCCGTTTTATTTGTCTTACCTATATCCTCGTTTTTTTCATCTTTTAGGAGCTTGTGAAGAGCATGATCGTGGGAGGGCTGGCTGCCTTAATGAATGTATATGTGTCGTGATAAAAGGAATGCACTTCTTTACGACACTTTTCTACCGCATGAATTTTTTGGAAGAACACGACTTCAGGGGAGCAGGGAAGCGATGGCGGCTGGATTACTTTTATTTTTATTTTACCTTCCCACCCACCCTCCTTTGATTCCCACCATGCGGCGGCGTCCCTTTGGTTGGAAGAACCCCAAAGTCTGCCACTTCGTAAGAAAGAAATAAATAAATAAATAAATAAATAACTAAATAAATATATACATATATACATATATATACATCCCATCCGAATAGAGTGAGCGGGCCGCGACAGTGGCTAACGGATGATATATAAATATACACTTCCTAGCTTTTACACTTGGAGGATATGGTGAATCCACTCTTGTTCCATTCATCCCCTTCTTATTCCTATCTGGTCTGTTTTCTATTATAGATAACTTGAGGATGCGGCCAGTGGCCCAGAAGATTATTTTCTCATGAATTTTCCGAAGAGTACGACTTAAGGAACCGGGGAGCCAACAACGGTGGGATGAAATTATTTATTTTGGTTTTACCATCCGACCCACCTTTTTTCAGTTCTTATCCTCGCGGCGGTGTCCATTTGGTTGGAGGACCCCAAAGTCTGCCACTTCGTAGGGAATGATTTTTCTAATCCCAACAGAGTGCGGAGTGCCACGAGGGTGGCCGTCCGAATATATAAATATATGCCTGGAGAAAACAGTGAGGCGAATTGACTTCATCTCCGTTTACCTCCTCTCCCTATCTTGTTTGTCTTCTTTAGTTAATTTTAGGATCAGGCCAGCAGCCCGGGCGAATACTCGAATTGAGAAAACCACCGCGTCGTCCACTCTGGCACCACCACCATTTTACGCCCCCGATACGACATGCATTTTCTCAATGAATAATCAATGGATTCCCTGTTCCACCGCCAAACAGATGGCGGGGAGCTGTAATTGGAAGAGCGGGAGAACGACGTGGATGCGCGTTCTGGAGGGCCTCAGTCCGCATTGGTTTACCGGAAAAGGACGCGTTTTCTTGGCCTCTGTCGGTTGACAGGCGGGGGAACAGGCCTTCCTGCCCTATGGAGCGGCTTCCCAGGGAACATTGCACGATTGGCCACGCCCTGCTTCTTTGTGTTGAATTTTCCGACGCGCGCAGTGGTGGGTTTTCACAGGAAAGTGGGATTCCCGAGATTTGTGTCCCTGCATGCGGAGCATGACTCTCTCTTTGCACAGCGTCTCTCTAATTTCCGGTCGCTTACTTGTGGGGCTCGTCATTGCGGAGAAAATAACCCTTGCTTGAGACCACAC